TTTAACAGACTGATCTTATTCTGAAAAGATTCCTCTTTAGACCTAGAAGGTCAGTCTAGTGCAATTAGCAAAGAGAAAACACACTGTTTTCTGTTGTTATGGAAATACCCAACGACTTCATAGCTGACTCCCACTTATCCAATGAAACTATTTGCATTTTTACCTTACAATTGGGTATCCGTTTGTCTATCCAACCTTTCCCAACAGGAGGGGGGAGAGCAGATGGGCAGACATGTGGGAAGATGGGCACCAGCTCCACAGTGGAAGAGGGGGACAGCCCTATTGACGGAGAAGGGCCACCGAATAGCCACTGAAACCCAAGAAGAGAGAAGGGAATGCTTGTTAGCCCGTAGCAATCAACTCTAGTTTGTCCCATAAGCTACTGGGGCAGCTGCTTTTTAATTTTTTTAAAGGGAATTTTAAAATATATGTATTTAATTAGGAGAAAAACCTCCTCTTTCCCCAGTTTAAAAAAAAATAACACCCACACATTTTTAAAATGTACAAGGTTTCCCATCAGAAGCATCACAAAGCATTACCCACACTGCACTCTTCAATACTGAGAAAGAACTTTAAGCACAAAACCACGAGAACCCGGTAAGAAGTGGGTTTCTGCCTGAGATAGAAGGAACCACAATAGAAAGGGGAGATGCTGGGTATTCCCTGTATGACTCGTGAATTCTGTTCATAAGCAAGCAGAGAGCTGTATGTCAGGAGAGTCCTTTCAGTATAGCATTTTGTATGAATTATACTTACCTTTTTAAAAGACAAACACAAATAATACTTTCAAAATAAAACTCATTTGGGGGTTAAGATTGAAAGTTGCCCATGGCTCACAAGTGCACACAGATTCCAAGGCAAAGGAGATGTAAGGGTAGCTCATCAATAACCGAAGATCCCAAAGCACAGAGTCAACGAGCGAACACCGAAAGGGGCAGGCCGTCTGGGAGACAGTCTCCCTCGTTAAAATAACTGAATCTCCATGGGCAGAGAACTGATAGAATCGTGGCTCAGTGATATGGAATGCTTCCACATCGACTTCTTTTAAGATCAGAGAAGCATTTTTTAATTTTCCTGTTATGTGAAAATGTCCTTCTGGTTCTAAATATTGTCACTGAACAGAAAACATGGAGCACAAAAATATTTAAAATAAGAAAAATATGATTTTTTAAAATATATTTTTAAATTTACACCCCCCAAAAATGCAGTGTTCTATATAGGGGGGAGAAAAAATGTAGTTCCTGGGCATTATATACCTCTAGTGGTAGCACTCTGATATAGCAACCCCCTGAAAATGCCCAAAAAGCTACCAACGCTTATTCAATAAAACCCAATATGAACTGCATCGCACATCAAAATAGATATCTAGGACTGCATATGTGATGTATCATTAGGTCTAAAGATCAGTGTGGGCGGAGTTTAACAACATCTTTAAGGAAAGCTCACAAGATAATACAGGAATAAAATTAATTAAATGGTGGATTCTAACATACCGCTTATTTGGATATGCTAAGGAAGACTATCCTTGGAATGAAATGCGTTTTCCCCTGATTTAAATGCATCTGCATAGTTAGATAGCAAACAATGGATCTTGCCAAAACCAGCCTGCCTTGCTCGGTTGCACCATTAATCAAAGGTAGAGTCACTTTTCCTTTTTGATTCCAGGCTTTAAATGCCAAAGTATTCCAAAGTGCAGTATGGCACTAGCTAGCTAATGAGGCGGGCTCGGGTGGACCTAGTTTGGGGCTGGGGGCGGCGGTTTATCACTGGTAACATTTCTCGGTATTAAAGGCAGGGTTTCCCTGCAGCTTCCATTGGTTTGAATTCTCTTAAGCATTGTCCTGAGTCTATTTTCACATAGAAAAAAAAACAAACCCAACCAGATCAGCATCAGAAATAGCTATTGATTCCCAGCCTGCTTTTCAAGTCTGGCAGAGACTGTAAAAGTATTAACTTCTCTGCGATAAGCCGGCCACGCTGCGCAGCTGCCACGCCGGCTCCCGAGGCGGCGACTTCAGCACCGCTCTCTGGACAGCGACCCCGGCCCCGCGAAAGTTGTGGCCACCTCGGTCCCAGCTCGGGCCTTGGGGTGCTGGTCCCTAAAATGCTTGGCTGGGAGACCGCGGGAAAGACTGAAAGACTGCCGGGGGGCAGAGCGGGGCGGCAAGGCATGAACTTTGTGGCCGATGCACGGCTGCCGGGCTGGTGCTGTTGGTTGGGGAGCCTGGGCCACCAGGGGCG